GACAAGCTACAGGCAGCCTGGCAGGGTCCCTACCAGATAGTGGAAAAGAGAGGAGACACCACTTATGTAATTGCCAGCTGTCACGATGAAAACTTAAGAAAGATCTTTCACGTGAACATGTTGAAGAAATACTTGCAGAGACCCGAGGAAGTGTCAGCCATATGTAGCCCTGCGCACGAGGACACAGATAGTCTCACCATACCCGACTTATTAACCCCTAAATCCCCGGCTGAATTAGTGAGCCAAGTACAGATTGGGGACAGACTTAGCCCAGTTGAGAGGGAGCAGCTACACAAACTGCTCCGAGAGAAACTAGCCATGTTCTCCCAAGAACCAGGGTACACTCAGCTGACCACGCACCAAGTAGATACCCCCGGCCAAAACCCCTTGAGACAGGCGCCCTACCGAATTCCGGAGGCAGTAAGGACAGACATGAAAAGAGAAATAGATGAGATGCTGCGTCTAGGGGTCATTGAAGCTTCCGATAGCCCCTGGGCATCCCCGGTGGTTCTGGTCCCCAAAAAGGACGGCACCACCAGATTCTGTGTGGACTACCGGAAACTCAATGACAAAACTGTCACCGATGCCTACCCCATGCCCAGAGTGGATGAGCTGCTAGATCGCATAGCCAGGGGGAACTACCTAACTACCATTGACCTCTGTAAGGGTTACTGGAAAATTCCCCTGGCCAGGGAGGCTGTCCCCAAGTCGGCCTTCGTCACCCCGTTCGGTTTGTACCACTTTAAGGTCCCGTTCGGTTTGTACCACTTTAAGGTCATGCCGTTCGGGATGAAGAATGCCCCCGCTACATTCCAACGCTTGGTGGACAGACTCCTTGTGTAACTGTGCCCTTTGCCACTTGTGCCCGGAGGGGACTACTGGCTAGCCTCCTGCCTTCCGACTATGGCCCCTGTGCTGACAGCTGTATTTTACCCTGCAGAAAGGTTTATTTGTGTATTTCTGTCGGGACTTTCAGTATGTGAGTAGTGCTACCCCAGATAGCTATGCCATGGAGCCTATTCATGTAACGAAAGACCATGGAAAAGACTTTGGCTCCATGGCGATTGAGCTGTATGGATGTGATCTGAGCGCCATTCAGTAATAATGTGCGCTCAGATCTAAGCTATCTGGGGATATGTTGCATGTATATGTTTTATGTAGTAATTGTAACATTGTGTAATTGTATGTCTTTTTGTAACCATGTGGTTAATGGAGTCTTGCCTCTGTCCTGGGAGATAATTTGATTACTTCCCAATAATCACCAGGATAGAGAGGAGGGATTGTGATGTCACTGTGGGAGTGTTTTGTTTGTATTGTCTGTGATTGGCTAATATCCAATATGTGTCCCATTGTTCCATCAGGTCCCCTTGAGGAGTGTCCACCTGGTGGACACTTGCATAAATACCGGGCAGGTAGCCCTCAATAAACCAGACCTACTTGCACCTTTCTTGAAGCCTTGGCTCATGCTTGGGGGAAGGGATACCTACATTCTGGGGAT